TCTATTTATTATTATGTCCTTCAGATTGTTTGTTAGGTGCTGTTTCCATAACTGAATAAAGTTCTTATTTTTAAAGTGATTCATCTTTATTAGTTTACAACACATGGTGCATAATGCCTGCTGGCAGTGAAAATAATGGGCTTGTATGCTCACTACCCTGAGGATCAGTGGCAAACAGTGTAGTCATACATGTACACCAAGCAACCCAACATTTTCTTAGCTGCACTTACAGTGACATACGCACAGATGTGCAGCAAGCACCAAACAGGCCCCCAAACTGCAGTGCCAGGATGAGCACAGGCTCGACCCCCAGCTCTGCCCCAGGTCCCACCCCCACTCCACTCCTTCCTCCAAGGCCCCGCCCCTTCCCACCCCGCCCCATTCTGTCCCCTTCCCCCAGTGTGCCACGCCCTCGCTCCCCCCCCTCACTCCCAAAGCCTCCTGCATGCCACGAAACAGCTGATCGCAATGGAGAGGTGCGGAGAAGAATGGGGAGGTGTTGATTAGTGGGGCCTGCCGGCAGGCAGCAAATACTAAGAGATAGGGGGGTTGCTGATAGGGGGGCTGCCAGTGGGTGCTCAGCACATACCATTTTTTCCCCATGGGTGCTCCAGCCACAGAGCACCCACAGAGTCGGCATCTATGGTTGCCACTCGCTTCTGCACTGTCAATGCAGCTCTCAGTTTGTTGTCCTCGCATTGGCTGGCTGAGGCGAGCTCAGCACACAGATCCAAGAATGTGGGTTTGCGCATCTGAAAGTTCTGGAGCAACTGCACATCACCCCAAACCTGTATTATAATGCTATCCCACCAGTCAGTGCTTGCTTCTCGGGCCCAGAAATGGTGTTCCACTATCTGTAGCTGCTCTGTGAATGCCAACAACCCTGAATTGGTTTGCACTTTGTCCCACAGTAGTCTGTCCTCAAAGAAATTGTTGTGTTCTCTGCAGTTCTGCAAATACATCCTGTGCTTGCTATGCTCATGACAATAGTACAAAGCTGCAGAGGCTCTATGTTTCTGTGAGAGATGGCAGACTGAAATAAGTCCAGTGCAGGTATGTGGGAAATTGAAGATAGATGTGAAAACTATGGGATAGAAATTATATTATGGGATGGAGAACACTGAATTATGGGAAGTTGAACATTTATGCCCCCACCATGCTTTGCCAAAACTACCCAAAAGACAGCCTACTGAACAGTGGCAAGTTGCTCACTGAGATACCTGCCCATGGTAGGCTCCACTGTGCATCAATCCAAGCACTCCTGGTGAGAGCACACAGCACTGATGCAAAGAGCCAAGTATGCATGCACACAAGCAATATACTAACTGCAGTGGCTGTATGCCGATGTAACTTGCATCACCAAAACAGTGTAGTGCAGACACAGCCCTAGTGTTTGGGCTGCTCCAGCGGTGGCAACAGGAGGGACTAGTCTCTCCTTGCTTCTCTTTTGCGGGAGGAGGGCTGGCTGGCCCAGTGATGTTATATCTGCAGTGCCAAAGCTTCATTGGGTCCTGGATTTCTCCGGAGCAACGCTCCAGACTGCTCTGGCAAGCAGCCCTACTGTTAACCTCTTTGGGTTACTCTAGGTGGGAATTTGTAAATGTGTTTTAAGGAGCTAGCTAATGTGATTGTAAATTGTAGTGCAGACAAGGAACAAATGTTTCTGCTAGCTGGATTTAGCACTATAATTAAAGCAAGCACTGTAATTGCTCAAGTTTTATCTGGGACATGTCAATTAATCGCAGTTAACTCACGCGATTCACTAAAAAAAATTAATCGCCATTAAAAAAATCACGATTAATTGTACTTATAACAATAGAATACCAATTGAAATTTATTAAATATTTGTGGCTGTTTTTCTACATTTTCAATATTGATTTCAATTACAACACAGAATAAGAAGTGCACAGTACTCACTTTATATTATTAATTTTTATTACAAATATATGCCCTGTAAAAATGATAAACAAAAGAAACAGTATTTTTCAATTCACTTCATACAAGTACTGAAGTTCAATCTCTTTATTGAGAAAGTGTAACTTACAAATGCAGATTTCTTTTTAGTTACATAACTGCACTCAAAAACAAAACAGTGTAAAACTTTAGAGCCTACAAGTCCACTCAGTCCCACATCTTATTCTGCCAAACGCTAGTAGACAAACAAGTTTGTTTACAGAGTAGCAGCCGTGTTAGTCTGTATCCGCAAAAAGAAGAACAGGAGGACTTGTGGCACCTTAGAGACTAACAAATTTATTAGAGCATAAGCTTTCGTGGACTACAGCCCACTTCTTCGGAAGTTTGTTTACAATGACGGGAGATACTGCTGCCTGCTTCTTATTTACAATGTCACCTGAAAGTGAGAACAGGCATTCACATGGCACTTTTGTGACTATTCTCCTACCCAGTTTTACCTGCATTCTGCATATATTTCGTGTTATAGCAGTCTCGGATGATAACCCAGCACATGTTCATTTTAAGAACACTTTCACAGCACATTTGACAAAACACAAAGAAGGTACCGATGTGAGATTTCTAAGAATAGTTACAACACTCAATCCAAGGTTTAAGAATCTGCAGTGCTGTCCAAAATCTGAGAGGGACAAGGTGTGGATCATGCTTTTAGAATTCTTAAGAGAGCAACACTCTGATGCGGAAACTACAGAACCCAAACCACCAAAAAAGAAAATGAACCTTCTGCTAGTGGCATCTGACTCAGATGATGAAAATGAACATGCATCTGTCCACATTGCTTTGGATCATTATTAAGCAGAACCCATCATCAAAATGTCTTCTGGAATGGTGGTTGAAGCATGAAGGGACATATAAATCTTTAGCGCATCTGGCATGTAAATATCTTGCAACGCCAGCTACAACAGTGCCATGCGAACACCTGTTCTCACTTTCAGGTGACATTGTAGACAAGAAGCAGGCAGCATTAAGTCTTGCAAATTGTAACCAACCTTGTTTGTCTGAGTGATTGGCTGACCAAGAAGTAGGACTGAGTGGACTTGTAGGCTCTAAAAGTTTACATTGTTTTATTTTTGAATGGAAATTTTTTGTACATAATTCTACATTTGTAAGTTCAACTTTCATGATAGAGATTGCACTACAGTACTTGTATGAGGTGAATTGAAAAATAAAATGTTTTTTACAGTGCAAATATTTGTAATAAAAATAAATATAAAGTGAGCACTGTACACCTTGTATTCTGTATTGTAATTAAAATTAATATATTAAAAATGTAGTAAACATCCAAATATATTTAAAATAAATGGTATTCTATTGTTGTTTCAGAATGATTAATCACACAATTTTTTTAATCACACGATTAATCACAAATTTTTAATCGCTTGACAGCCCTACTTTTAACATTAAACTCAGTTGTGTGCCTAAACCAAACAGAAGGTCTGCTTGATATATTCTTGGATCCAAAGTTTCACAACACTTGTAGACATTCACACAGGCCATTTAGTCCTGGAAACTCCTCTGTGTCCCCCTCAGAATCGCTGCGCCACAGGCCTCCTGCAAAGTCCATTGAACTCTGTAACACTCTTTCAACTGATTTCAATTAACTTTGGATCAAATCCCATCCAAGGGAAGATTTAGCTTTTTCCAGCAGAGAGCTACTCTGTGTCCCTGTTAGAGCTCTGAGATCACCTTTAATTTTGTTTTCAGTTTTACCCCTACTCCAAAGGCTTCCACTGATGGAATTGTATCAGTGAGAACAGAGGCAAGAAATATTAGGAAGGAAAAGGCTAGCATAGATACAGCTAGTGGGACTGCTTGCAATAATGTAGTGAGAATGATTTATTTAGTTCCATATATATGTTTATATATAACATTTTATATACTATAATGCCAATATAGGCCCAATTCTATTTTTAAATAAGTCAATTGCAAAACTTCCACTGATCT